GGCTGGGAAGCGCATGGGAGCGGCGGACACGGTCTGGAGGCAATCCCTGTTGAGTGAAGCTTGGATTGCCCGAGGACAGTGCGCGGCCACGCCCCTGTGGGATTTCTACAAGTACTACGAAACTTTGTCTATCGACCAGGTGCTTGCGCGACGCGACAGGCTGGGTTTTCCTCTCAGTGTGGCACGCCTTGCGTGCCAGGGCTATCGCGGCCCTCGGCGCCTCAGTCTCCACTGCGCGACCACCGTCGCGATGTGGGCCATCAAGGGCCTCGTGGCCGGCTGCCCTTTCGCCACGACCTTCATTAGGGTGAACTCGTTGGAGGGGCTTGACTCGATTGCCTGGCACCCGTGCGTGGATTACAGCCTCTACGTGGATGACAACGGCATCCACGCCGTAGGTGAGTTCGAAGAAGTTTTGGAAGGTGTGGTCCAAGGGTCCGAGCAACTTGTTCGAGTGGTCAGCGAAGATATCGGTGCCTCGTTGTCCGAGAACTAAGCTGTTCCCTTCGTGTCCAACAAAGCCCTGGGCCAAGACATTCAAAAGCGTGTTGGTCCCTCCCTCACGGGCCCCATCGTCTCTGCCACTCCGAATTTAGGCATAGACGACACGGCTGGCACGTCTTTAAGGCACCGTGGGCGCGACTCTAAGGCCAGGAAGCGACGAGCAAAGGCTAAGATGCGCGCTCGCCGCTTAGGTACAGCTCACGCGCCACATGGGTCGACGGGCCCGAAACATATGGGTTTCCGGCCCCCTCCCTGCGGCCCCCTACGGGGCTGAAGTTCTGGCGTCTCTGATGCCGAGCTCCTGGGCCTCAGGAGGTCCTTCGCATCGGTCCTTGAGCCTTCGGCTGGGGGCAGAAGCTTGTCGATTCTTCTTCTTTTGGAGCGTGATCCTACTTGGATTTTTCAAGCGGCGCCCATTCTTAGATGGCACAAGGAGGTGTGGAACGCCAAGTGCCACGTGCATCCCTCGACCTTGTCCTTTAGTTGCCTCCGCGAGTCCTGGGAAGCCGTTTTCCCAACAAAAACTTCGGACCTGGCGCAGTGTCGGAGGCCCATGGATGGCCATGAGAAAATCCCTTGGACGGCTCCACTGGAGCATGCCTGATTTTTGTACCCTTGTGGATGATCAAGGACACGAGGTTTCTTTGACGCTGCAGTCGCCTGTCATGCTGAAGATTATGCTCCGTGAGGCTTTTTTTTGTTTTTCTCGACGGCTCGAGGAGGACATAGGTTCGAAAGTTGGTTTCCGCCAGAGGGCTTGCTTCGACGTTGTCTCCAGGCACTTCGCCTCCCAAGAAATACACGCCTCTGGAGAAAAAAAGGCACCCTCAGGTCGGTTTGCACGGGGGCTTTGTGGACCAGGACCTACGCGATCTCCAAGGGGTATTTGCACTCGGAGCCCTGCCCACTTGGATGTGGTCAACGTGACACCCTCTTTCACCGTATCTGGAAATGCCCAGTCGTTCAGGAAGTTAGAGAGGACACGGTCGACCACAGGATTTTAGACAACATCGACAGTTTCGTCGACAAGGGGGGCTGCCGCACCTAGGAGAAGATTACCCCGCCCCGTTTGCGTCTGGATCCCTGGAGGCCGACTGGTTTGTCGATCCCTTTTTGGACAACAGGACCCAAATCCAGGGGCAGATTTTTGTGGATGGGTCACGCAGCCGCCATGTTATTAAGGATTTAAGTCGAGCGGCCTGGGCCATCTGCGTGTTTAAAGGAGACCAGCTTCAGTGCGAGATCAGAGGCCCTGCACATGCGCCCCTCCCGCAGACCCCCCAATGCGCGGAATTGTCTGCCCTCGCCGCGGCCGCGATGTGCATCGTGGGCCCATCGGAGGTTTATTCTGATTGCCAGAATGTGATTTCGCAGTTGGAATTGGACCATGCGGACCGCGCCAATTTTCGCAAGGTTTATGCTGGTCGCACGCTCCAGGCCCACAGCTATGAAGGAGCCAGGCTCATCTCCGAACTTTTTAAGGTCAGCGCGCATCAACCTGAAGCTGACGACAGCCTCACTGACCACGGACGCTTTGCGAGGTTGGGCAACGACTTTGCCGACAGAGGAGCGAAGGCCGCCCTCGATTTGCACGAGCATGACGATGAGGCGCTTGCCAGAATAGACGAGCAAGTCCAATTCGCATCAGCTTTCTGCTGCCTTGCCATGAAGGTTTTGCCCCTGTTCCCGCCCCTCAAGGCTGATGGCGAGGTGGAGTGCAGACCGAAAATCAAGGACGTTAGGAGCAGAGATGCACCTGATGAGTGCAATTTCGTCTGGATTGTTGGTCTCTGGCGATGCATCAAATGTTGCCGTGCCTCAAGGTCTTCTGACTTTTCGGTTACGCTAATGAGTGCGCCCAGACCCCCGCCCAGAAGGTGTCTAGGGATTGTTCTAGGCCTAGACCTAGATCTCGTGGACAGACAACGACATAGCATTGTCTGTTTCTCATGTTCCGATGGTTCTCACCTTTTCATCTGTTTGCATTGTGCGCCCTTTGTGCCCACAGGCACGCCGCAGAAGTCCAACCTCTACCGACTCCGGTGCAAAGGATTCCGCGACAGCCGACAGCAGTGGAAGTGGAACCGCGTTCTCCGAGGCGTGCACCCGCAGCATGGCAAGGATAGTGTCAAAGTTCTTATCGAGGCTCCTGAGGATGAAGTCCCAGGGAAGAGTGTTGAGAACTCGTCGAGCCTCGGGATGCCCGAGGCCCCTGCAGTTGGCACCACCACCGACCTTGCCGCGGCCTCGGGGGACGAGGGCGCATCTCAATGCAGCAACGCTCAGTTTGAAGAGGAAGCTGCCGACAGCGAGGCAGCTGCTTTCCTTTTCGCTTCAGCCAGCTGTGCAGCCCCACCTGCCGTGCCAGAGCACCCTGACGGTGTTGAGCGGGCCTGTGGCCCTCGGGAGATGGATGTGCTGGAACGACGGGAGGACGAGGCTCCGCTCGTTTTTCGCGCTGTGCAGACTGTTCCCTTTGAAGAGGCCTGCCAACCTGGCGCCTCGAGCCTTCAGGGGCGCACATCGCCCCCGTTGCGTACTGCGGCACTGCCTGTTGCGAGCGTTGCAGCCCCACCTATTGTGCCAGAGCAACCCATCCCTTGTGTGCGTGCTGAGCTTCACCGTTATAGGGATGCCCTGGCACAAGAGGAAGTTGTGGCTCCGCTCACGCTCGAGCCGACTCGAGCAAGCTCCTGTCAAGAAAAGATGGCGGTTGAAGAGGGCGCTGCCGACAGCGAGACCTCTGCTTTTCTACGCGTTGCTGCGAGCTGTGCAGCCCCTTCTGCCTTGCCAGAACATCCTATTGGGTTTGCGCGGGCCTTCAGCCCTCGGAAGGAGGATGCGCTGGAACGGCGAGAAGACGATGCTCCGCTCGTTTCCCGTACTGTGCCACCTTTCCCGCCTGTGGAGGCCTGCCAACCTGGCGCCTCGTGTCAGCAGGGACGAATACCGCCCCTCCTACGACCTGGTGCACCGCCTGTCGTGAGCCGTGCAGCCCCACCCCTTGTGCCAGAGCAACCCGTTCCTGATGTGCGGGGTGCTCTTCGTTGTGTTAGGGATGCCCAGGCACAAGGGGAAGAAGTGGCGCCGCTCGTGCCTGTGCCGACTGGAGCAGCATCCGTTCAAGAAAAAGTGCAGCGCCTTCTAAGAGCTGCAGGAGGTCTCCCGTCGTCTGGGGCGACGGGGAGTGGGGGGGGTGCCTAGGACGAATCAGACTAGGCCACGGAGGCTCCGCCTCGACCGTGGTCTAGCGCGTTCGCACGCTCCCCTTGCTCTCTCCTGCAGCTGGCGCTGCCGTGGAGCTGCAGCCGTCGCCGCCGCTGCATGCCCCCTTTCTGACTGGCCTTAACTGCTGGCCAGACGCGGCTGGAGCCTCCTGGGCAAAAAATCCTCGTCCCCCTCCTCCTCCTCCTCCTCCTCCCCCTCCTCCTCCTCCTCCTCCTCCTCCTCCTCCTCCTCCTCCTCCTCCTCCTCCTCCTCCTCCTCCTCCCTGGTCCACAGAAGAGCGGCTCACGAGTGCTCGGCCCGTCCACCGACGGGCGCTGGAGCGGTGGATGCGACGGGGGCGCCCTCACGCCTGGCGCCCCCCAGACAGCCTGAGAGCCGAGAGCCCAGCAGCTTGCCGCTCACTGCACGGCCTTCTCGTGAGTGGGCGCCTCGGATGAACGAGGGGTTGGGATGCAGCTCCTGGGAGGTCGAAGTCTGATTTTGCCCTGGTCCGAAGTCCGACTTGATTCGGTTTTATCCGGCTTGCTCCCGCTCAATCTGGCTTGATCCGGTATAATCTGGCTTCATCCCGCTTGCTCCGTGGCCTAATCCGGCGTAGCAGCCCCCCAGTGGGCCTTAATCTTCTTCAACCGTTTCGACGAAGACCTCCGAGTAGTTGCCTCCTTCAGGGGAGCAGGAGCATGAGAAAACATCGAAACATCGACTCTCGCGTGCGAAAACAGTGCGAAAGCATAGATTTTCTCGGGTCGATGCGCTCGCGCAGGCTCTCGGCGGGGCACAGCCAGCGCGTGCACCGCCTGTACCACTGGGCCAGAGTCTGGAGGGCGGGTCCTGTCAGGGCTCCGGGCACCTCGGGCGACCAGCCCTGACGGGAGGGAGGAGGTGAGGGGCTGGGGGAGGCGTGGCGGAGGGCGGGGAGGAGGGATGGAGGAGGGAGGGAGGGGAGGGAGGAGGATGCAACGAGGGAGGGAGGAGGGAGCACGTTGGAGGGAGGAGGGCGGGAGGAGGGAGGAGGGAGGAGGGGAGGGAGGAGGGAGGAGGGAGGCGGGAGGAGGGAGGAGGGAGGGAGGGCGGGGTGGAGGGAGGGAGGGAGGGAGAACCCAAACCCCGCGCCGCGCACGATCCCATCACGACCTCATTATGCCTGGGAGCCCACCCCCCGGGCCGCGCCCTCACGGGATCGTGCGGGCGGCGATGAGGAGGAGGACGGGAACGAGAATGAGCAACATCGGGAGGAGGAGGAGGAGCAGGAGGCTCTGCCGCTGCAGGCAGCCACCAAGGCGCAAGACAAGTGGAGGCGCAAGGTGTCCCAGCTGGCGAAGGCCGACAGCGTCGGGGGCCTGGTCAACGACGTGAAACTCAAAGAGTCGAGGCACCAGCGGGATCAGCCGACCTCCTTATTCAAGAGGCTCACGCCATTCCGCCGACCCCCAGAAGAGTCCACGGTTGAGGTGTCGTGGGCTTCTTCAGCAACATCTGGGGACTCTAGTGGGCGTCTTGGGAACTGTTTGGGGGCCTTGTTGAGCCTCTTGGAGGCAGTTTTGAAGCGTCTTTGGGGCCGTTTGGGGGCTTCTTACTGACCTTTGGGGGGCCTCTTGTGGCTTATTGGGGGCGTCTTTTGGGCCGGTCGGGGGCTTCTTGGGACTTCTGGGCGCGGAAAGATCGGATGTTCGGTTCGTGTTCTACCTCTTGGCCTTTCTTGGGGCCCCTTTGGGGCGTTGGGGCGATCCTTGGCCGTCTTGAGCCCCTGCCTGGGCCGTCTTGGAACCCTCTTGGGCCGTCCTGGGGCCCTCGCAGGCCTCTTGGGCACTTTTTGGGCGGCCCACGGGGCCTCTTGGGCTGTCCTGGAGCGTCGGAAGCACGAGAAGACGATAATCTTCGAAATGATGAAAGACCTACGGAAAACAAGTGTTTGTTGCCTCTCGGGGCCCTCTTGGGTGAGCTCTGGGGCCTCTCTTGGGGCGTCTCGAAGACGTCTTGAGGCACCTTGGAGTCATCGTGGGCGTTTTGGCCGATCGTTCGGCTGGCGATCCGGGACCGTCTTGGCACGCCTTTGAGGCCACGGGCCACGGAAGGCAGATGTGGAGGCTCCCGAGTCTCCGGGGAGGCGCCGGGGAGCTCGTGCACCCCGCCCTTCCCCGAAACGAGATCTCGGGCCCTGGGGGAGGGGCAAGGGGGAGGAGGAGGAGGAGGAGGAGGAGGAGGAGGAGGAGGAGGAGGAGGAGAGGAGGGGGAGAAGGGAGGAGGAGGAGGAGGAGGAGGAGGAGGAGGAGGAGGAGGAGGAGGAGGAGGAGGAGGAGGAGGAGGAGGAGGAGGAGGAGGAGGAGGAGGAGGAGGAGGAGGAGGAGGAGGAGGAGGAGGAGGAGGAGGCAAGGGGAGGGGGGCAGCCAATCATCCCACACGCCTCCTCACCCCTTGCAAGCGGGGGTCGGCGGACTCTTCCTCACCCCCCTCCGTCCTCCCCTCCACAAGTGTACGAGATGAGTACTACTCTCCTCTCCCCCCTCCTCCATCCTCCCCTCCCCTCCTCCCCCCCCTCCCCTCCTACTATCTCTCCATCTTCCTCACCCCCCTCCATCCTCCCCTCCCCTCCTCCCCTGACTCTGTCCGGAGAGTCTCCCGTCCTCTCCGCGTATTGCTTTCTACACCGGATCTCAGTCCCCACTCGACAGGTTGGGGCTGTTAGATTTCAAGCACAGGCCCCCCGGCCAACCCCACGCTGCATACCGCGGCTGCCAGACCCCGAGTTGTCCCGGTGGTCCCGAGTATCCCGCCTCGCGCCCGGCCAACCCCACCCTGACAAGTTGCTCCGATGATCCACGAGAGCCCAGGGTGCCCCGCCTCGCGCCCTCGACGAACACGACAGAACACGACATGACAGAACAGAACATGACAGAACGGAGCAGAGCATGACAGAACATGACAGAACACAACATCACAACATACTGACACATCATAGCATAACATAACATCAAAAAAATACCAGAGGCAGAACACAACATACCTATACGACCACCCTGCGGGTGATAAGGAGGTCGGGGGGGGAGGGGCCCAGCAATGGGCATCAGTGGTGATTGTTGTTCTGACGACGCACCGCCATCGTAACTCTTTTTTCCTTGCTCTTTCGAGCTCGCGCCGACATCCGAAGGCACCTCATCACCATCATCATCATCATCACCATCATCACCATCATCACCATCATCATCATCACCATCATCACCATCATCGTCATCATCATCACCATCATCATCATCATCATCATCACCATCATCATCATCATAATCATTATCATCGTCATCATCATCACCGTCATCATCGGGACACCGACGGGACACCGGCGGGACACCAGATCTCACTATCGATCTCATTCGATCGATCTAACAATCGATCTGACGATCGATCTCACAATCGATCTCACTATCGATCTCACAATCGATTTATCATTCGGTCTCACTGTCGATCTCACTATCGATCTCACACTCGATCTTACAATCGACGTCATCATCAACATCAACATCATCACCATCATCGTCATCATCATCACCACCATCACCATCATCACCATCATCATCATCATCATCATCATCATAATCATCATCATCATCGTCGTCACCATCACCACCACCACCACCGTCATCATCGGGACACCGACGGGACACCGGCGGGACACCGGCGGGACACCGCGGGCCACCGGACGCCGGAAGGGAGTCATTTGGTCCGGCCGCGCCTCAGCCACAGCAGGACACCGGCGGGACACCGCGCGGCACTGGTTGCTGGAAGGGAGTCATTTGGTCCGGCCGCGCCTCAGCCACAGGAGACTTTCCTCTCGCCCGCCCACGCAGCTTCGCCTCGCCCGCACGCACGGCACGCACGAACACGAAACCGAAGTCGATTTACCGGTAGGGGGGCTCTCCGTTCCACTTCGATCTCACCCCCCAACCTCCGAACGTAACAGAGCCGAGCATAACATAACATAACACACCTTGACATAATATATCATGTCATGACACGGCATCACTGAGAGGATCACCGCACGACTGCCGAGCATAGCGAAGACGAACACGATGGAACACAACATGACACAACAGGCCATCACATAACATAACACCAGCATGACAGACCATGGCAGGACAGAACATAGCAATGCCATATCAACATTGAGCACAACAGAACACATAACATACCAGGATAGAACATGACAGAACAGAAGACGACATAGCACAACGTAGCTGAGCATACCGCAGTACACCTCGATAGAACAGGTCCTAGCGTGACACAGCATCACATAGCATATCATAACACGACAGCAGAGCATAGCGACGACGAACACGATAGAACACATCATGACACATCATAACATTACATAACATAACACGAGCACGACATAACATGGCATAACATAATATAGCAATGCCATCACATCACATAACATTGCAGAACATACCAAAGCAAAGCATGAGACAGCATCACATAACGTATCATATCACGACAGCAGAGCATATCGACAAATTCTAGCAGAGCATATCAGCACATACCATACAGAGCCGGGCCGTCAACAAACATAACATGACAGTACATGTCAGAGCAGAACATGGCAGAACATAAGACGACATAACATAACGTAACAGAACACAGCCGAGCATAACATAGCACCTCATTTACAGAATATACCATGTCATGACACAGCATCACTGAGAGGATCATAACACGACTGCCGAGCATAGCGAAGACGAACACGATGGAACACAACATGATACAACAGATCATGACAAAACAGAAAACGAGCATGACAGAACATTACATTACACAAACTAACATACCATAGCGATGTCATGGCAACACAGGGCATAACATAACACCACATCACATACCAGAGCAGAACATGACAGAGCAGAAGACGACATAACACAATATACCTATACGACCACCCTTCGGGTGATAAGGAGGGTCGGGGGGGGAGGAACCAACGTCTCACTCGGTCGGTCTCACTATCGATCTTAGTATCGATCTCGCTAACGGTCTCGCTCGATCGATCTTACTCGATCGATCTCACAATCGATACCACCCGATCTATTTCATTCGATCGATCTCACACACGATATGACTATCGATCTCACAATCGATCCCACTATCGATTTCACAATCTATCTCACATTCGGTCTCACTATCGATATCACTATCGGTATCACACTTGATTTCACAATCAACGTCATCATCCTCATCATCATCATCGACATCATCGCCGTCAGCGTCATCAACATCATCATCATCATCATCATCATCGGGACACTATCATCATCATCATCACCCCACCACCATTAGCAGCAACATCATCATCATCACCATCATCATCATCGGGGCACCATGTTCGCCACCGTCATCATCAAGATCATCATTATCATCATCATCGGGGCACCAGCATCATCATCATCGGAACACCACCATCATATTATCACCTTCATCATCACCATATGGTTATCTTCATCATTCACAACATCGTCAACATCATCATCACCGGGACACCACTACCATCATCAGCAACATCATCATCATCAACATCATCACCATCGGGAGACAATCATCATCGTTACCAACATCATCACCATCATCATCATCATCAACGGCACCCCATCGTCATCATCAACATCAGCATCATCACCGGGCCACCATCATCAAAGTCACCATCACCTCATCATCATCCTCACCATCAACATCATCATCGTCGAAAACCATCATCATCACCAACAGAATCAGCATCATCGGGAGACCATCATCATCACCAGCATCATCATCAACAGCATCATCATCATCCTCATCATCATCACCTGGACACCATCATTATCATCTTCATCATCATCTCATCACCATCATCGTTCACATCATCAGGATCATGAACATCATCATCATTGGGACACCATCAGCATCATCAGTCACATCAGCATCATCAACATCATCAGCATCGGGACACCATCATCATCACCACCTTTGCCATCACCATCATCACCATCACTATCATCACCATCATCGGGACACCATCGTCGTCACCATCACCATCATCAACATCATCCCCATAGGGACACCCTCAACATCATCATCATCATCATCGGAATACCACCATCATCATCAACATCATCATCTCACCATCATCATGAACAACGTCACCAAAATCACCATCATCATTGGGGCACCATCATCATCAGCAACATCATCATGGGCAACATCATCATCACCAGGACACCATCATCATCGTTACCATCATCATCATCATCACCATCATCATCATCGGGGCACCATCATCATCAACATCAGCATCATCACCATCGGGCCACCACCATCAAAATCATCAGCATCACCTCATCATCATCCTCATCA